TAAAACCATCCTTATTTTATTTATCTTTCATAATTAATACACATATATCTTTTAACCAATTAAAGTATGTACTCTATACTATTTATTACTTCTAATTAATATTTATCTTTCTCTTAATCAATTAAAGTATATATTTTTTAAAAAATTTATAATTAATACATTTTATTAAATTAAGAGAACACACTTTAATTAAAGGTATTTTAATTTAAAAATAATTAATATATTTGACAATATGAGTTGAGTCTTATATAAATGAACAAATAATTACTCTAAATTAAGTCTTATAAATAAAAAAAATATAATATTTTTTAAATGTTAAGAATTAAATAATTGTTTTTTTAAGATTAAAAATAAAAAATAAAAAATTATATTTATAACTTTTATTAATAGGAAGGAAAAAAACGGAAGGAATATGTAACCTAAAAAGTCTTGGCAAACATTAAAAGTTTTGAACTGCATCCATTAATGAGTCCTCGACAAACATGGAAAAACTCATCTAGATGCGTAGCCTGACGATGGAGTAATTAATATCTTTGGTCCCATTCTCTGTTTCAACTATAAAATATTGACATCTCAATTAAATATGACGCTTGCTATAAGGGTTTTTGCTGTTCGATTTAGATTGATTTTTTATAACAAAAACTTGAAGATTAGATTGAATTCAAAAACACAATTGCTACTCTTACACTTACAATGGTTGTTATTATTGTCCCATTGTTATCACCGCTGGTATCACTCTCTTTGAAGTTATATATAATCAAATAAAATTAATTTTAGATAGATTAAATTTTTTTATTAAATATATTTAAGTTTCATAATTTTACATAAAATATATATTATATTTTTAAAAATATCTTCAATTATATTTATGTTAGATAGTATTTTTTATTTATTATTATAAAGATATTTTTAGATTAAAAACATTAAATAAAATCAATTTTAATAAAATTTATTTATATTTTAATCTAAAAAAATTAAATTTTTTTACTTATAAATAGGTCTAGAATTAGTACTGTTAGCATTAAAGTTCCTAACTAATCGAACTATTTTTAATATAATTTTTTAATCTGTTAAGATATTTATATTATATGACAACTTGTGATTAAACGATTTATTAAATTCAAATCTGTGTTAACTTAATTGAATTTTTTACATTTAAATTAAATGTTATTTTGACTTATCTTCTTTTAGAGAACAACTCTAGAGACTTTTTTTTAGTCAATAAACCTCATGATCAAAATAAAAAGTATTACTTTTATATTTTATAAATCAACTCATATATATTAAATATAAATTATTTTGTGTAAAAACTTTTTTAAAAATTTTTTTCGATGAGGAAACTTTAAGATTTTTTAAAATTTTTTATTTGATTTAATTTTATTTATCTTAATTATTTATAAGTTAAATTTTAATATTTAAATAAATTATCAATAAATAAAATTATTATTGTACTATGATATAAATTATTTATCATAAATCTAAAATATAATTATATATTTAAAAATACCTATTTAAATTTTTTTTAATATAAATTA